CCCTACCCCTTGTAATCAATAAAGTTCTCCTTTTTGACTGGTGTGGGAGACTTATTGAGGGGTGGGTCTAAATTATGCCTATGCCTAAGAGACCCCTTAGGTCTGCGGACTAAGGGAGCCTTTCCTTTTTGCCCCCAGACTTGGAGAAGTGCCCCAAGTGCCTGTATTGGGTCGAGTACCCGTAGGACTATTAGGCCTGTGTTTCCCCGAGGAAACAGGGCCGAGACAGTCCACTCTCGGGGTGGTGGCGGCACATTACCCCCAGACTAGCGAGTGTGCTCCGGGAGACGGGTCGGCCGGACATAAGGCGCCCCTAGGGAGGCATTCAGAGCCTGGAAGGTGGTCGGGCGCAGGGAGGTGGGTGGCTCAACGCAGGAGCACCCCCTACTGGCCCACCTCACGTGGTGGAAACAGCAGAGGGATACGAATACCCAGCTGTGTTCCTGAGGTGGGATCTCTGCACCCGCCACACAGACCACTGCTCTGAAGGCAGATGCTAAATTAGTAACTTTTTCTGGGCTTTACAATTAACCATTTCTTTTTCTCAGTCGAAGGGTAAAGCATGTTAAATCTCTTCTCTGATGTTTTCATATCTTTTTGGAAAGTGCACATGAAGATGAGATTAGACGTATGAGTGATTATATACAAGTAGCTTTTAAAGGGCTGAATGAGTTAAAGAAAAAGAGAGGGAGAGAGATTAGGAGAGCCACATTTTCAAGTGACTTATCAAATTTTTTCTTCTCTCTAAGAGATGTATGGATTTAAAATTCAAGAACACAAAGGGTAACAATTGAAGAGCGGCTAAATCTCACACATACAAGTTCTGAAAGCTGTGGTCTCAGAAGAACATTTCCTTAAACTTTGCTAGTAGAGTTTGTGGGCCTCTTTCATAATCTGATTTTATGCTGTAAGGTTCATACTTGCTGCCTTCACATCTGGCTCATACCCTCATCACAACTCGCATCTTGGCTGGGGGCACTATTTTTGGCTCTGTTGCACCTTATTTTTTCCCTTCTTCAAAGTTTCCTTCAAACCCTCACTCCCTTCAAGATGTTTCTACAAAATGGGGAGGGCAAGAAAAGAGAAATAAAAGCAAAATGCAAAAGGAGCAGATAGCAATCTAATGCTCACTCAGCAGTTCACTTAGTGTTACCTGCTTTCCATCATT